TATATAAAAATTTTTTGGGTATATATTTTTTAAAAATTTTAATCTATTTTTTTAACTGTACTAGATTTCATACAAAGGGGTAAATCCAATCCATTAAGAAAATAAATATCATTACCTGCATTACTATATTAGGGGTTTCAAAATTAAAATCAGAGAATTTTTTCTAATTAAAAATTCAACATAGTAAAAACGCTTTTGAAAAAATCCTATTTATTTTCGAAATGCGTCACTTATTTATTAACTTTGAAATCCATATTGACAGAAGATCCAGAAATTTTTACAATTAATAACATATTATTAATGAATAAATGTTATTACCTGGTTTAGGAAGTTTTGAAATATTCAAAAATTTAATAGCTTGTGGATGTGTCTGATATATGAATTGTGTCCATTTTGGCTTGATCATATATTAAGAAATTTTTATCTCTGTCTTTAATATTTTTAACTTGCTTTTAAATCTTCAAAAAATGATTTAGCGTATTAGCTAATTCTTCACAGTTGGTCTGTTTGGGTTCTGCATCTAGTGTTGGTGGTAAAATTAATTTGACAAATTAATACGGTTACGGTAATTACTATGTGCCGTAACGCTGTTATATTGAAATACCATAATGCTGTTGTATCTAAATATTATAATGTTATTGCAGTAAAAAAATGTGTTAAAATACTGCAATGTTGCAATAACATAGACTAACATAGGATAACATTCCGCTAGTGTTTATAGTTTAAAGTAACTTTTAAAATTAAGATAACGCACAGTAAATTTACTGGTTTTGTGAATAGATAATCATTTATCATCAAAGTTCGTAGTGAAGATCTTAAATTTTTTTTTTACTGTTTGGTCAAGGTTATTTCTTATAGCTGGATAAAGTTAGTTTTCGAATTATCCTAAAATAAAAAGACTTGTTATTGGAGGTTCTAAATTCCTTTATTATCCCAAATGGTTATATTTTTACTAATGCAAAGCAATACGATTGATGTAAATGCTCAAGCTATCTACAACGTAGTTATTATATTCCTGATTAAATTGGTAACAGTAAAGCAAGTTATGTTATATTTCAGTCTTGGATGATGGAATAATTATGATAGTCATTAATTTAAAGAAATCGGCGTTAAAAAGAATGAACACAAAAAGTGTTCAAATATTATCAAATAGTACTGTAGTAATTTAACATTACTTCTGATGACGTATGTATATCAACTAATATTATACTGTATAAATATGTTTATTTAACATCTATTTTTTTTTTAAAAAAAAAAAAAATTTTAATGACCAAAATTACTATCCCGGAGCATGCTTTGGATGCACAAAGTGTCTTTTTTGTACAACTTCTAAAATTTATTGTAATGAAAAAAATATATATATTTCAATAAAAAAAATTATACTAAAGTTCCTTATGCTTTTACTTTGAAATTCCACGATTCTATCAGTAATAAACAAATTAATTTTCTAGTATCATGTAATAATTCTTATAAGATTGAATTTTGAGCAACTTTTAAAATTTCTTCTTACTTATCATACAATAGTAAATTTTTACCGGGCTAGAAAAGAAACAAAATTTAATATTACACAATCAAGTTCTTTACAACATGAAAAATATGCAAATTACGTTCCAACAAAAGATGCTAAATCAAAATATGTTACAAAATTATAAATCTGCAACTTTTTTTTCTGCAAAAGAAATCAGCAATCAGAATCAGAAATCATCGATTTCTTATTTTTTTTTGATCTGCAAATTTCAACTTTAACAAAGATAACATGATATTGATAATTATCTAACTAATTTAATTTTTATTTTAATTCCACTAACATCGATACAAGAAATTAATAAATACCGTAATTTGCGGCAAATAGTACCCCCTTGTTAGTGTACCCCCCACGATTTGTACCCGGGATTAATCAAGTATTTGTCGCAAACATGATTGTAAAAGACCCGGGGTACTATTTGCCGCAAATTACGGTAAGTATTCGCACATATTATAACGCTGGTTTAGAATCAAATTTAGGTGGGCACGGTGTGAAGAACCAGGTATTTTATTTGGAGGATATATTATATTAAAATTTATATATGTCAATATACCGTTACGTAGTTATATTTCCGGATCTTAAGAAACTCTATTTCATTAAATTTATAAAAATTCAAACTTTAAGGTTTAAGATTTTACATATACTGTAATATGCAACTTTTTAATGTAATTATTAGCAATAATCCCCGATCACTATGCCAAGATCACGAGGGATTAATGAATAATATCCTATCCATATGTGAACAAGTCGTTCCCGCCAATCCCCAGGATATTATTATTACTAATCAAATTATTAATGGCTAATAATTTTAGTAATTTTTTTACTATTAATTAAAACTCAAAAGTCCAACGCCTAAAATTATAAAAGTTATAATGATGTATATAAAGATCACTGATTAATTTCTTGGTTTTTTTTGTGCCTTATATTCATCTATTCCTGGTTTGACATGATTTGTTACATAGCTATTCAATTATATCTGAAATATTATTATAATTATTATGTATAATGTTCTAGTATTACGGCATTACAATACAAAGATACTATAGTATTAATAGCTACCATATGGTAGAATGCCATAATTCAGTAATTCTACCGCCAACACTACTGCAGTATCCTTTATTACGTTAGAATCGCTATCACTATATGCAGATCATTTGAAGTACCGAATTGGTTCTGCCCCTTGCTATTTTCATGGGCATGGTGATTGCCCATCTCTAATAATAATAACGAAAATATGCAATTATGTACGTACTACGTGTCATATATGTTGCCATCAGGTTTTTCAAGGACTGAATCTGGTAAACAATAAATAATCAAACTTGAAAGTCTGAAGCCCTCATTTTCTCATGGCAACACTCATATCAGAATTACGTAACCCGACTTCTCCTTAGTATTAGTAGCGGTTTGATTGTTTACATGTGAATCTTTTTTTGAATTCAAAAATGGGTAGAACCTGTGTCAAAATACGGTAATATAACTTAAAACATATGTATCTCTTTAGACAACTTATGAAAGTAGAGGCTGACCAATGCATACCTTGCTACAATGACGTGCTGGAAAATTATTGAATTTATTCAAATATGCGTTTTTGTATCAAATCAAATTTCGTAATCTTCTGCTCATAATATATATAAAATATATAGTATTAAAAAGTCATATTGATATCAATTCTGATAATTATATAAACGTCGGAAAAAACTCTTCTCAAAAAAAATAAATAAATAAAACAATAAAAAAATTCAATTAGAAAAATTTGTCACACGTAGGTAAAAAAAAATGCCTTTTTATATTTATGTCATTCCACGTGATAATAACCATGAAAGTAGATATATTGCCGATGAATGCACGGTAAATCACTGGTACAATTCCGTATTGAAACTAAAAAGAGACAATCCTGGCGAAGGAAAATTCAGTATTGAAAAGGTATCACCGGAATGGTATACCTTACAAACTTCTGGTGACGTCCAATCATTTATTAAGTCGGTTCATGATAATGAACTAAAAGAATATAGGTCTAGATCTTTTTGGTTGTTGTTGGACGATTCTGATGGCAGAAACATGCCAATAATTCCTAGACAGACATTTTTACCATGAAATATCCAAGTAGGAAGAAAAGAACAAAAATTTTTGACCAAAAAAACAAGATTAAAAATGGATTTTATTTACATTATTTATAGTATAACATGTAGATTTCGACATTATATTATTAGGTTGGAGAGTTTTAAATGAAATTGAAAATTTGAGAAATAATCAGAATAATCTATAAATATGTAGCGACTGAATTTAATATAGTAATGTATTAAGTAAATATATTTACGAGATTTATTACTCATCAAAGAATTATATATTTATTGGCAATATAAATATAAAATTTTTTTTAAAAAAAATTTATAGCACAGTCCAAAAATTTTATTTATTAAAATATTAGATCCATGATATCCTGTAAATCGAACGACTTATTTAAATGCACTATCGCTATGCACCAAAAATTTAAATATGCGATGCAATGTAATCATGTTATAAACTTGAGCTTATCTAGTACGATAATTACCAAAAGACCTCAAAACTCACCGAATAAGCTATCCTTATATCATTTTTTTAAAAAAGGCAATAAAATTAATAGCGATAGTGATATTGTTAGATTTATGTCCCATAACGTTATCTTCAAAGCAAATGCACCAGACGAACACTCGGTATCACTGAAAGATAAACTACTCATTTTTATGAAAGGTTATCACTCAAAATGCCTCATAAATAAAGAAATATATGTAAAGGATTATGTATTTAACAGATTTGAAGTCTTTTATAATGAATAATAATCATGTTCATTCCTAAATTTGTACAATATATAAAGACACATCAGATTATTCACTTTAATTTTTTATATTTGGTCTTTTTAGCCGCCTTCAAATTATGCGTTACTACAGTAACTATATTCTGAAATAATATTTAATATTATTGACTAACTCTAATAGTAAATTGTATATTCATGAATGCGCAAAACAGTTTGAAGAATAATACCCGCACTAATAACATAATAGCTATAACAATAATAAATTCCGTGATGTTGAGCGTTCTCCGAGTATTCACGTCTAAATAAAACTGATTTCGATTGTTAAAGTGATATATGTGATAATTAATGGGACTGTACTAGTATATCAGAACTATAATTTTCGAATTATTAAATATCAATTTACTTGATAGCAAAGTTTTAGCATATAGCTATGATTTTTACTTACAAAAAATTGTTCAAATGCTTGATATATCTTGATTATTTTTAGAATGAAATTGAGGGTCTGATAAATAATTAGATAAAAATAATTTTGTAGACAATAAAAAAGAAAGATAAATAAACCAATTTAAGTAATGTAGGTAGGGTGGGTCTGTGGACATTCCACCCTTTAAACTAAAAGGCATGCCCCCAGTAGGAGCATGCTTAAAAATTTTTTCGTGCCTCTATGTAGTGTTGGCTAATTCAATATATATCTATATACTGCATAAATAAATTACATTCTTGATTTCTATATAACTCACTAACCCTAACTGCATCAAAAAGGTATCTTAAACATCGTTCTGTTTTAGCTGACTACTATATAGATATGTCGATAACAGTTTTTCATGTCTTTCCAATCACTAATCAAAAATTAAAACTAAGAATGCATCTATGATGTTTTATACCTATGTATATACCATCTCAAAAAATGGCTAATTAATACGAAACGTTCTAAGTAGAAACATTCTAAGTAGAAATGTTCTACGCCTCTAAAAACCCTTTCTAAACTCTAATCCTAAATATAAGTACTAACTCTAATATAAAAAAATTTGGGGTAAAAATTTTTATATACAAAACTTAGGAATTTTAAATAACATAATAAAATATCTGATATAATAGATACAAAACACCATAGGTGCATTTTAAAATAATTAAACATAATTATACAGTAAAATTTGTTCCTGAATTATGTAAAACTATGACATATAAGCTATTTATTTTTTTAAAAAAATAAATAGCGAGATCATGAATGTTAATTGAATGAAACCGCTTAATCATTGGACTCAAACATACCAATTAATTTCTTAACAGATCTGAAAATAGTTTTTACATTAAAAAAAATTTTCGATATTCGACAAAAATCTAATCGACACGTGTTAGTACGTATTATGTGACGAAAAAACATTCCTTAAACCGTACCGTTTCTCCTGCAAATTTGCCCTGAATATTTTTTTAAATATAAAAACTTAACGATCTCGGTATCTAATGGTTGAACTTTAATGATTTTGGTACCATTCGGTTCGTCTCGATGAGACGGTTCGAATGATACAAAATCATCAAATTCTAATCACTAAATCGCGAGTTCTTTGCAAAAAAGAACTGCGCCGCAAATGGGGGTTTTTTTAGTAAATATCTCATGATCTAGTGATTAGAATTTGGTGATTTTGGTACCACTCGAACAGTCTCATCGAGACGAATCGAATGGTATCGAAATCATTAAATTTTAATCATTGGATACCGAGATTGTTAAGTTTTTATAAAACTTGTTTTAAGTAATAATATCTCACGATCTGATAGCACCATTCGATTCGCCTTGATGAGCGGTTCGAAAGGTACCAAATTCTGATCACTAGATCGTAAGATACAGCAAGTTTGTCAAAACTCCCAGAATTATAAATCTGTAGATTTATTTTTTTTCTATAAATTTTCTAAAAATAAATCAGAAACATTTTTGTAATCATACTGTATTCAGGGCAAATTTTCCCTGAATTTGAGACGGTTTAAGGGATAATTTTCCCATGCTAGTATTTCAGCAAAAACAAAATTTTATTAAACTAATAAAAAAATCATTAAATTTAGGGAATTTATATTTCCGCACCCTTTTTTGATAATTACACCCCTGTAAATGTTCATTTTAATAATTTTTTGATTTTTTTTAAACTTCAATCGAAGATACATCGACATCCACCTAATCAAATTCGATGAACTTTTTTTTCTTTTAATCGTAGAAATCACCAGAATTAGAATAGAAAAAAAGTTTATCGAATTTAGTCCGGTGGGTGTCGAGATATCTTCGATCAAAGTTTAAAAACAATATTTTTACAAAACCTTTAATCGAAGATATCTTGGCACCCACCTGACCAAATTCAATGAACTTTTTTTTTTATTTTAATTGTAGAAATCACCAGAATTCAAATAAAAAAAGGTTCATGGAATTTAGTCGGGGAAGTGTCGAGATATCTTCGATAAAAGTTTAAATACAATCTTCAATTTGATAGACGTCCAAATTTTTACAAAACTTTGATCGACGAACGTTTTGAAAAACGTAATTTTGTCCAACATTATTTCAAAAGATATCTCGGCACCCACCTGACCAAATTCAATGAAATTTTTTTTTCTTTTTATTTTAAAAATCATCAGAATTCGAATAAAAAAACTTTATCGAATTATTCAAGTGGGTGTCGAGATATTTTCGATCAAAGTTTAAAAAATTTGGTTAGTTAGGTGTCGATATGACTTAAAAAAATTACTAAAATGATCTACATTTACAGGGGTGTGGAAATAAAGTAAATAAGAATTAAAACTGAATTTACAAAATCACCAAAACTGGTCCCACTATTTTTATGTTAAGCTTATTTAAATAGTATTCTTTTAATCATGTCAAAAGAAGTTACAATTTATACAATATTTTAGAACTTAAATTCATGAACTAATAATTAGCGAAACAACCAGTATAAAGGAGTTATTTTGATTTAAACCTCAATTCTTACAATATTTTTTAAAATATTTACTTATTTTTTATTTGTAGTCTTCTCGAAATGTCAAGCTTACAGTGAAAACTTTTTATTCGACTGTCCAGTACTGACATGGCTTTTAAAAAGGTCAAATTCAACTCTGATAAAGAATTTACGCATATAAGATACACCGTTACCACATGCGACCTAGACAAGTTTGTAGATAAGAAGCATTTAATTCGACAAAATATATATGAGCGAAATACTAAAAAATTTAAAAAGAATCTATAATTTTCAAAATCAGATTATACTAAAGTCAGCTAATGATTATTTTTCCGAAAAAGATATTTGCAAAAAAACAAATAAATTAAAATATTAACCTTGATCGTTTATGGTAATACTGTTCTGAAGGAAGGAGATTTTTTCATTTTACATCTGGACAAAGTTTATCATTAGCCTTAAAACAAAGCTTCTTATTATTCATGTCTAATTGCACTGTTATATCCACCGGAATTAAAATATATTCCCGAGATATCAAAATTAGAAGCTACGTCACATTTTTGCTCTAACTTTGAGCGAAGTTATTTAGACAGTCATCTGACCAAATTCAATAAACTTTTTTTTTTATTTGAATTCTATAGATCCATAGAATTCAAATAAAAAAAATTTCACCGAATTTAGGTAAGTGGGTGTCGAGATATCTTCGTTTAAAGTTAAAGAAAAATCAATAAGCCTAAGCTGCGCCAATTTTTTTTCTAAATTTGAGCGAAGATATCTCGACAACCATCTGATAAAATTTGATAAACCTTTTTTTTTATTTAAATTATATTGATCCATTGAATTCTAATAAAAAAATTTCATCGAATTTTGTTAGATGGCTGTTGAGATATCTTCGCTCAAAATCAAAGAAAAAAAATTTTGACGCGGCTACTATTTTGATGGGCGTTTTGAATTTTCTCTAATTTTGAGCGAAGATATCTCAACAACCACTTGACTAAATTCGATGAAAAATTTTTTTTTGATTCTACAAGTCCACAGATGTAAACAAAAAGGTTTTATTGAATTTGGTCAGATGCTTGTTGCGCACGCAATGTTTTAAAGTTTTTACTGGATCTGCACATCGATCAGTATCAAAAATGTAGCAAAAATGTATGTTTTGCGTCGGTGTGACAATTATGTATGCATCGGCGCATATTTCTATCATTGCTAAGTAAAATTTTAATATGTAATACAAATATTAAAGAGCTATTATAATGGTATATAATATAGCCTTTCTCATTCTAGCATTAACTATAAGAAGTTATAAGAATAATTATTTGGTTTCATGTTACGCGCTTGATAGTTGATTAAAACTCACATGACTGCCA